AGTTGTAATAATGAAAAGAAAAATTTCCGAAGTATAATATGTTCTATGGGTCAATGGTTTTGAAAGCTTTATTCTGTTTATAGAGCGAAGACGCAACCAGGACCAAAAAAAGGTCCTAGAACAATCCAGTTCTTGTTCTCATATTATTACAGCGGTGGGGAGGAAAGAAGAAAGATTTTTGCTTTTGAAGTCTGCAATTCAAGGCCATTTTTGGGGGGGCGGGGTGGGGAGGGGATAGGTTAGAATCTTTTTGATGGCTTTCTCTTAGGCTGTTTAATAGAGAGGAGAAGTGTGACGTCACGTTACCATGGTAGCACTATTTCAGGATGACAACAAAACCAACGACGACGGCGAAGACAAGGAGAACGGCACTACGACATGAAACTTCCTAATTTCACGAGCCCGCTTTATGGAGTAGGTGAACACAACGCAAAAAATTGTCGCTTTCTTTTTCTAAACTTAGATAACGATAGAGTCGTTGCCAAAGAAAATTTCGCCAAGATTTGCCAAATTAAATGAAATTGAATAAGATGGGTAGGTTTGAAATAGTGCGGATAGACTTTTAAGTGACTTTTTGGGTTTGTTGTCATCTAAAAATTTTGCTACCATGGCAACGTGACGTTGTTTAGGATACAAAGCTCTTTTTACAAATGATGACGAACTTTTCATAAAGACAAAGATTACATTTTTTGCTGATGTTGCTATAGGGTTTACATTTCGTTAAAACTTCATCTTTTCCATTTTTTCTGGAAAGGTTTCTTAGAGTCATGTAAAGTCCAAAACAGGCGAAACGAACTAGCCAGTTCATGCCCCCACAGAAACAGATATGTACTTCAGAACTCTAGAGTAACGTGACTAAGACACAATCCGCCTGTTACCTAGATACAATCTCTTAACACATCCCAATAACAACCACCCAAATTTTACTGCCCACTTTTAATTTTAACGGTCAATCGTTGAAGTTGCCTGATGATTGTGGTCCTACAATTTCGGACCATACGAAACAGCACTGTCGCAATTAACGATCAATGATTACTCCTGAAGCCTGAATTCCTGTGATTATAAATAGTCAATGCTCTTCAATTTAATGAATTGAGCGCTCTACGAAAGGCATTTTATCATTAAATCGGGATGATTGCTAAGTCTTTTGCATTATATTGGTGTATTTGCCAGTCTGAGGGGTAGACGTCTTACCCAGCTCTGCTTGTAACCTCCTAGATGGCGTCACTGTTTTTCTCTTTTTTTTTTTTTTTTTTTTTTTTTTTTTTTTTTTT